CGTTGTTGCCGTCCTCGCAGTTATCGTCGTTGTTGTCGCCGTTGCCGTCGCCGTCGGCTGCGACTTCGGCGATCAGCGTTGTTCTTACTGTTTGTCCCCCCTCTCCCGCGTTGTCACGTGACGGGGCTTCAATGTTTGCCCGCTCTTTTCGTTTCCACGTGACTCGTAGATCAGAGTGGCATGTGTTCGTCGCCCTCCAGGCGTTTCATCTGACCTGCAGAGCGCGAAACACTTTTACGTGTGTTCCGCTCATGCGTTGTAAGTTGACGAGGCGAAATTAATTTTTGTTTTGTGTCATGCGTAACCACGAGGCGAAGAACACCAGATGTTGTTGTTCGTCCCCAGGCGTTTCCATCGGACGGGTAGATCAGAATAGTGTGTGTGTGTGTTTGTTTGACCCCCGTCGTTGCCACCCGACGAGAGCATATTCGTATGTTTGTTCCGTTTCTTGCGCGGGCGTTTCGTGAGTAGAGTTGAGTGTTAGTTTGTTGTTCTACAGGCATCGTCATCTGACGGGTACAGCAGAATAGTACTTGTTTCTTGCTCCCTGCGATGCCTCGTGACGAGTTGAGTGCAATAGTACCTGAGTTGCCCCTTGCGTTCTCACGTGGTTACGCCTTCTCCTCCCCTCCTCTCTATGCCTCATCGTCCGCATGTTATGTGTGCCTATGTCGTGATTGTGCTGCTGTGCTGTCGTCGTCGTTTTGGTGTTGCTGCCGTTGTCGTTTTCTCTGACATGTCCGATGCCGTTGTCGTTGTCGTGTTCGACGTCATCGTCGTCGTTCTCGTTGTCGCCGTCCTGATTCATGACCTCGTCGTCGGCGCCGTCGTCGGCGTTCTCGACGTCGTCGCCGTCATCGCCACCACAGTCGTCGTCGTAGTCGTAGTCGTCGTCGTCGTCTTCGTCTTCGTCTCCGTCGTCGTCGTCGTCGTCTTTGTCTCCGTCGTCATTGTCGTCGTCGGCATCGTCGTCGTCGTCGTTGCCGTCGTCTTCGTAGTCGTCGTCGGTATTGTTTTCTCTGTCGTCGTTGTCGTGTTCCTCGTCGTCGATCCCCTGCGCTGCCACCCGACGAGACCCGAGTCGCAGTTTGCTCGCCCTTCTGCGCTGCCGCGCGGCGAGCAGTGTGCTGTTTGTTTCGCCCCCCTGCGTTGGCACTTGGTAGGAGGAGGAGGAGGAGGAGGAAGAGCAGGAGGAGCAGGAGGAGGAGGAGCAGGAGGAGGAGGAGTAGGAAGAGGAGGAGGAAACTCGTCAGGCACCACTGGTGACATAAACATATCGCGAATCAGAAGGTCGCAAGGCAAGCGGGGAACACCGCACAGGCCGACCTGCAATGGGCAAGCTCATGCCTGAAACCGTGGCCCGAGCAACAGCTCGGCCGTGCAGCTGCGACGGGAGGTGGGAGGGGCAAGGAGGACGAGAGGGAGGAGGCAGGAGGATAGAATGGTCAGTGTGCCACCTCTTGCGCTTCCAAGCTGCGAGTGTTTGTTGCTATACTATCTTGCCCCCACGCCCCCTCCTAAACGTTTTCCCACGCCCCCCTCCCAAGCGATCGGCGGAGCAGGATGCCATGTGTGTTCCCCCTTCCTCCTGCGCTGCCACGTGTCGAGCTGCGTGGGGTGCGAAGTATTTTCTCCCCATCCCCCCTCCCTCGCTCCGCCGCTCCTCCTCCTCCTCCTGTTCCTCCTCCTGCTCCTCCTCCTCCTCCTCCTCCTCCTCCTCCTCCTCCTCCTCCTCCTCCCTCCTCCCCCTCCCCCCTCCCCCTCCTCCTCCCCTCCCCCTCCCTCCCTCCCCCTCCTTCTCCTCCTCCCCCCCCTCCCCTCCCCCTCCTCTTCCTCCCTCCTCCTTCTCCTCCTCCTCCTCCTCCTCCTCCTCCTCCTTCTCCTCCTCCTCCTCCTCCTCCTCCTCCTCTCCCTCGCTCCCCTCCTCGATGCCGCTCCCGGACCCCAGGTGTCGGCGGGTCGAGGGCCCCACGGGCCCCACACGCGGCAGCTTTGGGGGGCGCGTCTTCTCGGCTGCTCTGCCCTCGCTGCCAAGGGTGCGCGACGACGGACCCCAGGCAAGTGATCAGCGCTTGCCAGGCCGCCCCCAAAGAGGCCTCCAGAATCTGGTTCGTATCGGGAGGGGGAAGTACGGCAGGTTCGCGTCGTGTCTGCCGGCGGCGACCCCGCCAGTGGCGTTCAACGTTGCCCGCAACGTTGAACGCCGCGGGCGGCCCAGAATCGTTCGACGTGGAACGATTTGGACGTTGCGGAGACGGCCGATAGTGTCAAGGTTGAACGATCCCCGCGGTGTCAGAAACCAACGCTGGGGTCGGCACGACGCGAACCTGTCGCACTTCGCCCGTCGGGGTCGTCTCGCCACGTCCGAGACGCCGAGTCCCTCCGACACCGACGAGCCTGAGCTCGAGGCCAGGCTCCGTGTTGTCGATCCGCCTGGCTTTGCCCATCCTCTATGACATTCGTTGTCCTTCCTCTGTGATGCCCCGTGGCGCTCTTCGATCCCGCCCCCTGACATCTTCGCGTCGTGAGAACATCACTCAGGAGGGAAAATTAGCCTGGCGAAGGACCCAACCATATGCAGTTGTGAATGCCGCAATTGTGCTGGGTGGTGGCGGACGCATGCGGGCGGTGCCACTGGGACCTTCGGTGGAGCTCCCTATGGGGCCACGAAACGCTGTACTGGGTGGGTGAGACGCGGTCAGCAAGGGCTGTGCTGCGTGGTGGCGGACGCATGCGAGCGGTGCCACTGGGACCTTCGGTGGAGCTCCCTATGGGGCCACGAAACGCTGTACTGGGTGGGTGAAACGCAGGCAGGGAGCAAGGGCTGTGCAGGGTGGTGGCGGACGCATGCGGGCGGTGCCGCTGGGACCTTTGGTGGAGCTCCCTATAGGGCTACGAAGCGCTGTTCTGGGTGGGTGAAGCGCAGGGAACAAGGGCTGTGCTGGGTGGTGGCGGACGCAAGCGGGCAGTGCCACTGGGACCTTTGGTGGAGCCCCCATATGGGGCCACGAAACGTGCGAGGGGTGTGCCAGAATGGGGTGTGGAACCGCATGCCAGCGCAGCCACTGGGGCCTTCGGTGGAGCTCCCTATGGAGCCACGAAACGTGTGAGGGGTGTGCCGAAATGGGGGTGGAACCGCATGCGAGCGCAGCCACTGCGGCGTTCGGTGGAGCTCCCTATGGGGCCACGAGACGTGTGAAGGGCGTGCCGAAAAAGGGGGTGGAACCGCATGCGAGCGCAGCCACTGGGGCCTTCGGTGGAGCTCTCTATGGGGCCACGAACCGTGTGAGGGGTGTGCCGAAATGGGGGGGGAACCACATGCGAGCGCAGCCACTGGGGCGTTCGGTGGAGCTCCCCATGGAGCCACCCACGAAGCGTGTGAGGGGTGTGCCGAAATGGGGGGTGGAACCGCATGCGGGCGCAGCCACTGGGGCCTTCGGTGGAGCTCCCTATGGGGCCACGAAACGTGTGAGGGGTGTGCCAGACTGGAGGGGTGGAACCGCATGCGAGGCGCAGCCACAGGGGCCTTCGGTGTAGCTCCCTATGGGGCCACGAAACGTGTGAGGGGTGTGCCAGAATGGGGGGTGGAACCGCATGCGGGCGCAGCCACTGGGGCCTTCGGTGGAGCTCCCTATGGGGCCACGAAACGTGTGAGGGGTGTGCCAGAATGGGGGGGTGGAACCGCATGCGGGCGCAGCCACTGGGGCCTTCGGTGGAGCTCCCTATGGGGCCACGAAACGTGTGAGGGGTGTGCCAAAATGGGGGGTGGAACCGCATGCGGGCGCAGCCACTGGGGCCTTCGGTGGAGCTCCCTATGGGCCACGAAACGTGTGAGGGGTGTGCCAGAATGGGGGTGGAACCGCATGCGGGCGCAGCCACTGGGGCCTTCGGTGGAGCTCCCTATGGGGCCACGAAGCGTGTGAGGGGTGTGCCAGAATGGGGGGTGGAACCGCATGCGGGCGCAGCCACTGGGGCCTTCGGTGGAGCTCCCTAGAATGCCAGAATGGGGGGTGGAACCGCATGCGGGCGCAGCCACTGGGGCCTTCGGTGGAGCTCCCTATGGGGCCACGAAACGTGTGAGGGGTGTGCCAGAATGGGGGGTGGAACCGCATGCGGGCGCAGCCACTGGGGCCTTCGGTGGAGCTCCCTATGGGGCCACGAAACGTGTGAGGGGTGTGCCAGAATGGGGGGTGGAACCGCATGCGGGCGCAGCCACTGGGGCCTTCGGTGGAGCTCCCTATGGGGCCACGAAACGTGTGAGGGGTGTGCCAGAATGGGGGGTGGAACCGCATGCGGGCGCAGCCACTGGGGCCTTCGGTGGAGCTCCCTATGGGGCCACGAAGCGTGTGAGGGGTGTGCCAGAATGGGGAGTGGAACCGCATGCGGGCGCAGCCACTGGGGCCGTCGGTAGAGCTCCCTATGGGGCCACGAAACGTGTGAGGGGTGTGCCAGAATGGGTGTGGGAGGGGGAGGAGGGAGGAGGAGGAAGGAGGAGGAGGAACGAACGCGGGGCGACGTCTCTTCAAAACGAGGACCCAACACCACAGGATGCTTGGGAACAACACAGACACAAGTAATCGTCGATTCCCCAGACGATCTGGGGTACATATGGGAAGTGGGTGGGAAGACAGAAACCCAGAACATATGTGAAAGCATGGGGAATCATTTTATTTGTGTGTAGTTATTTGTGTGTCCTGGGGCCTCTTCAGTCACAGCGGGATGGGATGTCGTTTTGCCGCGAAGTCGTTTGGAGACGGTCACCGTCAACGCATGTTTCCAAGAAGTGATCCGAACGTGGGGGCCCAAGAGAAGGAATCCCAGTTTGGGAGCCACCCCGACATCTTCGCGCAGTGAACAACATCACAAAGAACTATGTTTGATCACGGGGACCGTCGAACACGATTCAGGATGCGAAGCCAGTCCAAGGCAAGGGGTCCAGACTTCTGGGGAGTCACGCTGCGAAATAAGCATAGAGTATGATGCTTGGGTTGCTCGGGCAG